GTACCGAGTTGTTTATTTGTCTCCGTCCCATTGTTTTTTTATGGAATATACAAGTCTCTCTTCTAATTGCAGTCAATATTTAAATACTGCATACAATTTATCCTCTCTTTATAATTTATCTAGTGAGTGTTGGTTTTTTATGACATTATTTCTGTAACGAAATTGAAATGGTTATGAAATGAAATTTAAATTATTTGAACTTTTGGGGTTTTGTAACTTCAATATTAAATCTTATTTAAAGTGAAACAGCTAATTTCTTTGCAGCCATAATAGTCACATTTGGTCAGATGAAACACACTACTACCCGCACACTACTCGTCGGTGGTATAGCTTTCAGAGGAGATTCGGTGTCAATGTCAATGGCGATCGTTTAATTGGGCCGCATTTTCTACCTGAACATCTGAATGGGCCGCGTTACTAATTTTTAGTAGAATTGTTTGAAAACCTTCCCCTTCGGGCTTACAGCAAATGTTGTTAAAATATTAAAATTATGATGCTAATAAAAACTGATTTTTGGCAAGGCATGCTCAGACCTCGAGGTTCTTGCTGGGCAACAATAACAATTTAATATGTTGATTGCATAAATAAAAAATAATTTATAGCATTTTAAATTATTATTGGTTGACGTGAGCAAAACCGTTTATTTATTGTCTTTATATGAGCGAAAATATATAAATATGGCAACGTTGCATCTAGGGCGCGTTGTTCATAGGTTCATATCGTAGCCGTGCATAATATTGTGACGTCAGCCGGTCAGTAACAGCCTGAAAAGGGGGTTAAATAATGATTTGAAAATATTTTTTTTCAGCTTAAATATGCATTTAAATTTTTTTTTAATCACGCCATCGTATTATACTCATTTTTCTCTATCTGCTCTTAAAATTAATGACATTATGACTGAATCACCCTGTATAATAATTAATTTTTCTTCAAACTCCTAACCCCCAGCTACCCCTACTTTATTTTTCAAATGGAAACATAAGGCATGAGGGGGCTCGTTGAAAAGCTTATAGAAAACCGAATCCAACCAAATAAACAAGTTTTATTTTCTCAATAGCACGTTTTTTTTCATTTAGAAATTGAAGCAACTATAGATAATTTACAAAAATAAACTCAATGTCGCAAATGCTGGAAATGTCCTCCATTCACTATTTGGCATTCTCCAAGACAATAGTAAAAGCTGTCCACAGCATTTTGAATGACTTCATCTGGTAAGTTATGCATCTCCGCCCTAATCTTGTTCTTTAAATTCTCAATATTATCCTATCTGTCCTAGTAGATTCTTTCTTTCAAATATCCCCAAAGAAAATAATGCAAGGGTGTTAAATCGGGGGGTCTTGGCGGCCATTCAACTGTACCCCGTCTACCAATCCAGCGATTTGAAAACATTTCATCAAAGTATCTTCGAACATCAATACCAAAATGTGGGGGAGTGCCATCTTGTTGGAACCAAATTCTTTCATTCGGTATATCTGGATCAATTTCATGAGGGAAAACCACAGCTAGGGCCAGGTATCAGGTCAAATGTTAGGAAATCCAGGTAGCGTGCGGCAGGAAGACTTTCTTCAAGAAAGAATGGGCCCAAGATTCTGTTGTTGATGATACCTGTCCATACATTAACTTTCTGTGGATGCTGCGTATGCGATTCGCATGTCCAGTGTGGATTTTCCTGGAACCAAAAGCGATAGTTGTGNATCAAAATCAGTTAACGTGTTTCGGCGTTTTAAAAAAAATTAACTCATTCAAAAGATATGAATTTTATTCCGTACTTCTGGCCATCCCTGTATAACCATTATTTGGATTAACAATTGGCAGTGTACTGATGACATTCTGCTTCATAAAAAATTTAAATTTTACTTACCTCATCTGGAGTTTCAAAAGTTACATGTGCAGGCAAAGCCACAGCACTGTAGATGATGGCCAAAAAACACAACGTGAACTTCATCTTCGACGATATCTTTGCGACAGATAGGTAGATGTGTCTTGTTATCGATAGTTATATTTTATCTGATCAGATTATTTAAAAAAATACGATTATCTCTGATACTTCTTGGAATATCACTGTTTATTTACCTTGCGTAAGTTTTCCTTTAAATCTTCAGACGTTGACGGTGTAATAAAATTGGGAATTTCGTACTCAAAAGTTAATAACTGTGATATCAAAGTACTTGGGTACAATAATATACGTAGTGCAAAATGAATAAGTTATACTCCAGTCGCATTAGAGTTTAAACGTGAAAATAATAATATTAGTAGACATTTTATTGCACTTTATGACGGGGAAGGGTACATATACAGGGTGTTTTTGAATGGAGTAGCATAAATGATACCAGTGAATCTACATTTTAAAAGAACGCGATCTGCAAAAAATCGCCTTAGTAAAATGTTCACCCCTGAAGAGATATGGGCCATCAAAGTTTATTAAGGCGATTTATTGCAGATCGTGTTCTTTTGAAATGTAGATTCACTGGTATCATTTATGCTACTCCATTCAAAAACACCCTGTATAGGATAAACTATACCTCTTTTTCAAATATACATTTAAAATTCACCCTGTAAATATAATATCAATAAGTGAAATAAAAATTTATCATAAAAATTATATTTTCAGTAGATGTCGAAAATTCTACTAAT